TCCTCAGCAAAAAAAAAAAAAAAAAAAAGAGGAAGATTGGCAGATGTTAGCTCAGGGCTGATTTTCCTCACAAAAAAAAGAATGGGCTTTGGGCTCAGGACAATTCCTTACCAAGAGATAAAGAGCTCACGCAGCCTATACCAGTCTTATCACTTTGTGTGGGAATATCTTCCCTGCAGGCCTAAAGAATGTTCTTTTGGAGCAGGCCTGGTGGCGTAGTGTTTGAGTATGGGTGCTCTGCTTTGGCAGCCCAGGGTTTGCAAGTTCAGATCCCGGGCATGCACCAACACACCGCTTGTCAAGCCATGCTGTGGTGGTGCCATATATAAAGTAGAGGAAGATGGGCACCAATGTTAGCCCAGGGCCAATCCTTCTCAGCAAGGAAAGAGGAGGACTGGCATCGGATGTTAGCTGAGGGCTAATCTTCCTCAAAAAAAAAAAAGAATATTCTTTGTCTTTGCTTGAAGCATGTGTATCGTATGACACCTGGCCAACCCCACTGTTACATCAGTCCTCCAAGAGGAGGGGTTGGGATCTTTCTACTGTGGTACAAGAAGGATGCATGAAGGCAAATTGCCCTGCATTGGCCACTGGGAGAGACTCGCTGGCCATGGTGGAGCCATACTCACTATTGAAGCTGATCTCGCTCTGTCTCTTCTCTGTATAAGTAAAGCTTTGTTCTACCAGTGCTTGACTGCATTGTGCTTCTCTTGCAACTGCAATACAAAGATGCAATGGGCACAGTGTTTATAGTCCTCCCCTAGGATTGGCAACCAGTTCACAGTACTCTATTCTCTTGGGATTGATAACCAGTGCATGGTAATCTGCTCTGACAATTTTAATGTCTGTAGGATCTGTAGTGATAACTCCTGTTCCATTCTTTCTATGTACTTGGGCTTAACTTACCCCTATTTTTTTTAATATTCTTAAAGTGGAATTTTTAGTCATAGATTTAGACATTTCTACTTTTCTAAAATAAAAATTTAGACATAAATTTCTAAGTGATTTTTTTTGCTGAACCCCACAAAATTTGGCATATTGGTTTTTCTTTATCTTCAATTTGAAATGTTTCCTAATTACCCTTATTTTTTGTTCTTTAATGTGTACACGATCTAGACTTATGTTGCTTTATTTCCAAATATTTGGAAATTTCATAAACAGTTTTTTATTATTGATTTCCAATATGATCACTTTGTGGTTAGAAACAGAGTTTGTAAAATTTAAATATTTTAAAGCACATCAATAATTGCTTTATGGCCTAGCCTGTGATCTATTTTGATGAATGTATCATGTGTACATAAAAAGAATGTGTATTTTGCAATTGTTTTGTGCATCAATTTGGTCAATGTGGTGATAAGGTTGTTTATATCATCCCATGTCTTTACTAACTTTTGTCAGATTATTTATCAATTTCTGAGAGAGTGATGTAAAAATCTTCTATTATGATTATGGAAATGTCTATTTCTCCCTTAAATTCAATCAATCCACATGTGAACATGTTAGTCATTTTTATGTCATTTTTAATGAATGAACCCTATTTTCTTTATGCAACATTCCACTTTCTATCTGATAATACTCTATTTTATCTGAAACTAATATTGCCACTCCAGCCTTCTCACATTTGATATTTTCATAGTTTATATTTTTCTATCTATTTACTTTCAACCCCTCTGTGTCTTTATATTTAAAATGCTTTCCTTATAATTTGTGGTCTAGTTAATTTTACTGTGCCCATTTATTTCCTAGCTTTGATAATTCACAATTATGTATGATGTCACCATTGGAGTAGTCTGACTGATGGGTACACAAGACCTCTCTGTACCATTTTTGCAACTTGTGAGTTTATAATTATTGCTAATAAAAAAAAAAAATTGCTTGGAGAAATGTTTCCTTTATAGACAACACATAGTTTTGTCTTCCGATTGAATCCATCAGATTATTTCTGTCTTTTAATGAGAACTTTTGGCCCATTAACATTTTTATATAATTAATAATGTGGTTAGATTTTAGTCTATCAATTTATTATTTTGGTATGTTTGTTCTCTCTGATTTTATTCTTCTGTTTCCCCTTTCTTGTCTACTTCAGATTATTTGAATATTTGTGATAAGAATTTTATTGTAATTTACATATTCCCTTCATAGTTATCACTCTTTGCATTATAATTAGTGGCTTTACTGGGATTATCACTATACGTTCTTAACTTTTTATACCTATTTAGAGTTGATATTAATCTACTTTATTTAAAATGTAGAAATCTTCTAACAACAAAGGTAGATATATTTCTCCCACTCTCCTTGTCCTTTCTGCCCTATTTTTTGCATGTATTACATCTATCTACATTATAAATGAATGATGCAATGTTATAGATATTGCTTTAGAAAGTCATATAAATTTCAAATAAATTAAAAGATACAGTATTTTTTTATACTTAGACATTTATGATTTCTGATGTTTTTCATTCTACTTGAAAATCTGTTTCCATCTGGAATTTCCCTTCAGCCTGAAAAATTTCCTTGAACAGTTCTTGTAGGGAATCTCTGCTGGAGAAAATTCTCTTAGTTTTTGTTTTTGAAGGGTATTTTTTCTGCCTATTGAATTTGAGGCTGGCGGTTTTTTGTTTATTTTTTTGATGTTATTGTTGTTGTTTTCCCTCAGCACTTTAAAAGTATTGTTCCCCTGTCATCTGACCCTTTAGTTTCTGATCAGAAATCAGTGGTGACTCAATTGTTATTTCCTTGAACAAAATGTGTTACTTTTCTCTGGATGCTTTCAAGATTTCTTCCCTTTTTTGGATTTCAGAAATTTGACTATGATGTGCCTAAATGAGATATTTATGCTCTTTGTGGTTTTCTGAGCTTCTTAGTTTTGTAAATTCGTGCCTTTGACCAAATTTGGGCATTCTCAACTGTTATTTTCTTGAATTACTTTTTACCCCATATGTTTCTCTCCTCCATCTGGGACTCCAATTACCTCTCTACTTCAGCTATTGATATTGTCCATCAGGCCCTTGAAGGCCTATTGTTTTCAACTATTTTATCTCTCTGATCCTCAGATTGCATAATTTTATTGATTCACTCACTCTTTATCCAGTCATGTTCACTGCTCTATCAAATCTGTTCAGTTAATTTTTTTCAGATACTGAACTTTTCAGTTTCAACATTTCTTTACATTTTCTGTTCTCTGATGTGATTTTCCATTTTAAAAATTTATTTCAAGTATATTTCCTCTACTACTTGGAGCATGTCAAAATGGATTAAAGTCCTTGTCTGATCATTTCAACATCTAAGTTATGTCTTGGACACTGTGAATGTTAGGTTGAGGAGAATCTGGATACTCTCATGTACTCTGAGGAATTTATCTTGTCTATGATAAGTAGCAGCTCGGATGTCAGTATAGTTTTTTGGTTTGGATTTTTTTTTCGCCTTAACTGGGCTGCTCTGAGTTAGCCCCAGGCTTGCCTGGTTCAGGGATTAGCAAGAGTCATGGCAGAGTTTACACATAGAACCTGGGCTCCCCTTCCCTGGCTTTTCCCTTTCTGATATTTTCCAGTAACTGTGGCCATCTTTGGTTCTGCCCTTGTGTCCTAGGTTTAGCAAGATGGTAGATATGTATTTGGAGTTTAGCCTCTCTATGCCACATTGCAATCACAGAGAACTCATTGTATGCTGGTCCTTTTTTCCAAGTTTTAACTTTTCTCTGTACTATGCCTGTCTTTAGTTCAGCTTTCTTATCCTTCAAGTATTTTATTTTTCCCCAGAGTTTTACTTGTTGTCAATGGGAGGGTTCATCTGTTAGGAGCTCACTTCACTTTATTGGAATTGGAACTCCTCATTTGATTTTTAATCTTTCAAATAACCCTCATACTTGAAATCATTCAATGACTAGACGTTTGATTTTAGGATAGAATTCAAATTTCTTACTAACATGTAAATACATATGGTAGTTATCCAACACATATTGTTAAATGAATGCTGTTCCCATCAAATATGAAGTATGGTCACTTTTAGTAATACCGTTATTATCCTTAATAATAATAACATATATGTATAAACTGTGAACATTTAATAATAATTCCCATGTTAATTGCTTGACTATTCATGAATTCCCCTAACTGGACAGCTAATTAATAAATCAAACAACACATACATTTTGAGTGCCTATTATTACCAAGCACCATTGTAAGGAATTAATGGAAGGAAAGGGATGAGAGGAAAGTTGTTTTCCTCTATGGAGCTTACAGTCTAATTGGAGAGATAAAATGTTTTCATATAGTATAATTTTTAAATAGCAATTATACCAGGCAACAATTAATACCTGCTGAATGAAGAGAGTAAATTGTATGTAAAATCTTAGAGAAGAATAAAAGAAATGGTGATTATAGATCTTATAGGAGTGGTGGTACTTGAGATGAGGTTTAAAGGAAAAAAATAGAAAAAGTCTAGGCAGAGATGTAGAACAGAGTATTCCAGGCAGGAAGACAGAGTTCTCTGCCTTATTCTCCTATAAATGTGATTTAGGTAAAATCTGATCTGTCAGCCCATCTATTATTCAATGGAGCATGGAAAATAGTTCATTCTTTTTTTTTTTTTTTTAAATATACAATATTTTTATATAGTTTAATATACATACAGTAAATTATATTAGTACATATGTTAAAACTAAATTAAAACAAAGGTCCATAATTTGATCTAACTGGAAAGCCAAAATTTATATAGTAAAGGAATTTATATAACAGTAACAAGAAAAGGCAAGGCCGATGGGCTTTTACACCTCTACAACACACGTTCTAAATTAACTTCAGTATTGGCTAAAATACAACAACTGACAAAATTGCATGGGCTTAATCAATACTGGGCCTCAAATTGTAGTTACATTCTTAATGAACATTTCAAACCAAAGTTGACTTCCAGCACTTTCAGGTAGAACTTGTTTTAATCAATTTCCCTTCATAAAAGATCTGGATTCCAGCTGCTGCACCTCCTTCATCCTCTCTCCACTAATGCCTGGAGCCATGAGGATCTTTTTCTTAATTTTTGTTGCCCTCATTCTTCTTGCTCAAATTTTCTCAGGTAAGGGGGAAATCCTTTTAGATGTAAGAATGGCAGTCTGTTTGGGATCTGTCTTTTGAGAAGAAATCTCAGCTTTTAGAAAAGTGCATGACTTATCCCTGTGTCCTAAAAAGGTCCCAGGACAAACCAGTTACTGGAAATTTTTTCTGAGCTAAGACAAAACAATGGGACCACACAATCCAGACCACCAAGAGTATCTAGTTAAATTCCCTAGCAACTCTGCCAAAGGGTCCAGACTTCTCTTTACACTTAGATCTTTTTCCTTCTTCTGTAATCTTCACCCCAGCTTCAGCATATGCCAAAGTGATTGCTTTACAATAAGACAAAATCCCTGAGGCAAACTTTAAACACACTTGTTAATTGAGAGAAGTATAGCCTTTGTAGTCTAAACTAAACTAATCTTATGATAACAGGTTCTTAACAGTCTATTTTTTCATATGTTACTAGGTGATCCAAAACTCCTAACCTTAGATAATTTTGGACTTTCTGGCTATCATATATGGATGGAAAATTGCGTAATTTATACCGTCAACATCTTAATTAGTTTACTGTTAATTCTTTGCATCCTTTGAAATGATCTCTCTCTGCTCAATACAGCCAAGACTATCCCTAAGAAATCTTTCTGTCCATCCCTCCTCAACTATCCTTCATTCCTTCTGTTATGAAGCCTTCCATAATGGGGCTCTCTACGTATCATGACTCACTCTGTCTCTTTCTTCTTCATGGTTCATGAATTTCTACATTCATTTTTTGTACAATCTGGCCTCAGTAGGACTATCAAAGCAATAGATACAGCAAGTGTGCTTACCACTTATAATAAATTGTTTTGGGCACTATAATAAAGGTAGGTAAAATGGAGGTAAAAGTATAATTAAATCATGGCATTAGTCCTTAGTTTACTTGAAGTTTATTAGTCTATTATTTCTGAGTTGGTTAAGAATAGGTTGCATGTAATTTTAAACAGCCATTAAATAAATTTAAAACGTATGAAGTCCATGGATGAAGCAGGAAGATGCACAAATCACTATCATATAAAAAAGCTCTCATAAGTGCCATAAATGACGCAAAGTACCAAAAGAAGCCATAGAAGTAGAAGTTTGGTTCTAACTGGGGGTTCCAGAGAGTCTTCCTGAGAGGTGGTATTTGCATTACACCTTTGAAAACAGACAAGACTATATGTAGAGAACATAGTCAAGAACAATGCCCTCATGTTTCAAAGTCTCACTGGTAAATTCAGTTACATAACTCCTGCTCTCAGTCTCCTTCCATAGAGGTCAGACCATGGATCCAGGCGAGAGAACCCAATTGTAAGCTGCCCTCTCCATCTCTTTTTATCAATAATTCTGTCCCCAAACTCAGGGCACACACATTTGACTCCCAACAATAGGCACAGTATGGGCTCAAATTAGGACCACCATCACCACGACAGTCATATCGAATCTTGGAGTTGGAAGGGAGTTTAATGATCAATATAAGAAGTAATGAGGAGACTATTATGCCAAAATATTTGAGGTTGGATCTCAGTCCCAATCCTCATAAGATGTATGAACCCTGTGCTTCAATTTCCTTTCTATGAGTGGTAATAACGGTGGGGTTGATATGAAGATTAAGACACCCTATATATTAATTAATTAAAACACTATAGATTAATTAGAGTAGAGGCTAACTTCTTTTAATAAATAAATTTAAAAATAGAATGACTGAAAAAATTTTATTTCTCTCTCATGTAGAAGTCCAAAAATAGATAAGTTGACTAGGTTGGGTAGAAGGTTCTTCTCCATCAAATCATGTTGGGATTAGGTTGGAGGTCAACCTTCCCGTCCTAAACATATGACTATTTTATCTGGTTCTAAAGATGCTTTAACAGGAAGGTCTGAAAAGTAAGTAAAGGACAGGATTAAAAAGATTACATAGAAGCAGCTCACGTCATTCCACTCTTATTTCATTGGTCCACACTTATTCTTGTGGTCTTACAGAAATAGGGAGCCAGAAACTGACATCTTTAGCTAAGTATCCACGTGTCCAGCTAAAACCCAGAGGTTCTATTCCTAAAAGTCTGAAGGGAAAAATAACTGCTTGGGGAGAGTTTAACAACCTTTCTTTTCTTTTTTGTTTTTGTGAGGAAGATCAGCCCTGAGCTAACATCCCTGCTAATCCTCCTCTTTTTGCTGAGGAAGACTAGCTCTGAGCTAACATCTATTGCCAATCTTCCTCCTTTTTTTCCCCAAAGCCCCAGTAGATAGTTGTATGTCATAGTTGCACATCCTTCTAGTTGCTATATGTAGGACGTGGCCTCAGCATGGCCGGAGAAGGGGTGCATCGGTGCGCGCCTGGGATCCGAACCTGAACCTGGGCGGCCAGTAGCGGAGCGCGCGCACTGAACCGCTAAGCCACGGGGCTGGCCCCACAACATTTCTATTGATATGAACTGTTTAAACAGTGCCAGGCATATACCCTGTGCTGTTATAGAGTTAACTAATATTATTGTTCTTATTCTCTGCCTCAATTCAATATTTAAACACCTTATATATTTTCCATGTCAATTGATAGCCCAACGCCTGATAAATTCCAGTCCCAAGTTCGACTTTGGAAAATTTAAACATTTTTCCCTTTCTTTGAGCAGAAATCTAAGTCTTTGCAATTTCTTTCTGTTACTCTGAGTCTTCACTTAGTATTAACAAGCCCAATATCTCTTCAACATGGTAATACATCAGATCTATGGCAACTAATCTGTATTCTTGTTCTCCCAAAGTTGTTCTCTGCTTTCGAGAGTAACTGACAGTTCTTTGACTATTTCTCCTAAGGACATGTATCACCATTGCTTTTTCAATCATTCCCTCCTGAAGTAGTTTTATGCTCTTCAGCTTAGTCACTTTGTTCTGAATAAACATACATTGTCTTTGCAGCTCTAAATTTGCTTGCCAGAGTCAAAGACACTATTCCACTGTTGTTCTTTACACAGCAGACTAATACCATGTTTCCTTTATCTTTGTACCTAAAACTGTGAAACCCCATAGTCATATGCCAAGGCATATGGTTCATCATGAATCTGCCTACAATGCAAATGGCACAGTCTTTACCTTTCGTTATATATCAAAGACCATTAATTTGGAGATATGAAAAAATAATTTACTGGAAAGGATTGTTTATTGGAATTAGAAGGTATATTGTCTCCCCCCCAGGAGGAAACATTCTGTTTCTATATATCCTAGACATTACTTTGGCAGAGGGAAGTCTTCTTTGTTTTTCTTAATCAAATATCAAGTAAGGACACTGTAAGAGACTGCACCAGGGAAATGAGCTCAGAGAGAGCTGTTCAGGTAACATCTGTTTTTTCTGATCTCTAGATTTACATTCTGTGTCTCCAGGAGATTTGGTAATGGGCAATTCTGAATTTAGCCTGGATGATGTAATTTTGCCTTACACTAATTAATTACTGGATAACTGAAGTCTAATTGCTCTCTTCATTTAGCCAGAGGCTAAGTTGCCAAAGGCAACTACGTTGTCTGAAATTGGATGGTCGCTGTGAAGTTGAATGCCCTTCCTTTGAAGTTAAGATTGGAGACTGCAGAGCTGAATTGACAACATTTTGCTGCAAAAAGAGAAAGAATCATTAAAAGTTAAGCAGCAGCTACAAAAATGAAAGAGGTGAAGATGCCCTGGCTGTGATCTCAGTGCAGCAAACCTCTCTGGACCTTGCCTCTTTGATCTCCGAGTTGTGGATTCTCTGAAGCTGTCAGTCCAGTTCTGATGCTGCAGGGAAATACCTTCTCTGAGCTGTGAGCTTCTAGATGGAAGGCACTACATCTTGTGCACTTTTGTATCCCCGGTCCCTGGTATTGGGCCTATTAATTATTTTATTGATTGATAAAGTAAGTGAATAAATAGATAAAAAAGTAGAAAGAAAAGGTTGGACTGTGACTCAGGTGAACTGAGTTCTAGAGTTATAGGTCTGGCTTCAAACAGATTTTTGGCCTTCGGCTTTCTGTGCCAAGATTCTGACCTATGCAATATGAGGAGATTCAACTACATAGTAAATGGATCACCTGCTAGACACTACTTGTGGCCACCTCAGCAGTACCACTGACACACACTCCTCCTCTCTCTCCTTTATAGGTAGGAATTGTTTAGAATGTCTTCCATTCCCTGTCTGACGTAAGACATCACGTTCCCCAAAGAAGCTGGCCCATCCAAAACTCAAGCTGGCCATTGATGGAGTAGCATCTTCATTCTGGCCACTTTCAGTGAGAATTCATCGAACCATGGCTCATTTAGGCACAAGGTCCCTAAAGATACTGTAATGCCACACCCTCATTACGGATGAGGAGATTTAGGCCCAAGAAGATGATATGGTTACTGGCTTAATTACACCTATATTCAGACTTCTGGCTTTTAGGTCTTGTATTCTCAGCATGTCCTCAAAAAACTGTGCTGGATGAGGACAGAACAACAAAGGCCGACGCTAAAGATAGAACATTTTTTAGCAGTTCAAGTGAGCAGTTGGATGGAAGAGGAAGTTGAAACCAGCTGCTCCCAAAAAATGAACACTCTTCACAATCCCTCCCGTGATCCTGGGGCCTTTGCTCTTTCAGAGCAATGGTAATGGCAAACAGAGGTTTGCTTTTGTCTTAATTTGATTAAGTCTGTAGTCCCGGCTTTCAGGCAGAGCAAAATATATCTCATAGGCCATTTTCATCACAGCAGATTTATAGCACGCCTTTCCAGAAACAAAACTCCTCAGCTCTGCTCTAGAGAATTTCCTTACCTATTCAGTTAAGCTCGCTTCCTGTAGAGATGTAAATAAAAGAGAACAACATAGGGGGTTTGGCCCGGTGGCGCAAGCGGGTAAGTGTGCGCACTCCGCTGCGGCGGCCCGGGGTTCGCCGGTTCGGATCCCGGGCGCGCACTGATGCACTGCTTGTCAAGCCGTGCTGTGGCGGTGTCCCGTATAAAGTAGAGGAAGATGGGCATGGATGTTATCCCAGGGCCAGTCTTCCTCAGCAAAAAAAGAGGAGGATTCACAGATGTTAGCTCAGGGCCGATCTTCCTCATCAAAAAAAAAGAGAGGATAAAATAGAACCAAATTTCTGGAGCAAGACAATTTGTAAAAGGATTTCAAATAAGAAATAAAATGTGCTTTTAAAAAATGTGCAGACACCCCTCCTTATCTTTATGAGGCTATACTTTTTATTCTGAAAAGGATGCAAGAGGAACATGGGGAGATGAAGTTACCTCTTGCAACCAGAGGAATCTTTTCAGGTTCTGTGCTCTTTCCAGAAATTCTGTATGAACTGTCTCAGATAAAATGCTGCCTTTGAGAATCTAAATGTATTTAGGCTTTCTCCTTTTCCCTTTTCTTCTTTTCTCTTTTCTCTTTCATTACCAAACAATTGGAAGTGTTGTATACATTTTTCTGTCTCCACTGTTTTCATAGCCTGTTTGCTTCTCAACCTATGGAAATGTCTTCTACCTTCATCATATCACTGGAATTTATCTTAGTAAAGAGACCAGTGACTTCTTAGACACTTCTTAGTCACTGTTATCTTAATTAAGACACTGGGGCCAACCCCAATGATCAACAACCATTATTCATCCTCTTGGCCCTTTCTGAAGCATTTCACAAGGTGATGCATCTCCTTCTTCACTTCTCTCTCCTTTGCCCCGTAAGGACTTTGGTCTCTGGCTATTTTTCTTCCTCTTTTTCATTCATTCTTGTTCTCCTTTGTTCTCTCTTTGCTAGGATTGCACTCACCATTGTTTCTTCCATCTTCTTGTTACGCAGTTGTCTCTAACTAATCCCACCCACTCCCCTGGTTTCAACTCTCACCAGTTGACATGGGACTACCTATTTTCCAGCTTTTCTGGGCTCTGAGCCCTACTTCTCTACTCCACTCTGTGATATTGTGCAGAGATTCTGCAAAAGGCATCTGCAAAACTCCTTGGCCAGTTAACTTCCTATTAGTGCCTTTAATGAAGGTAGCAGTATTACCAGTAGACTGGAAAATAAGAAGAGGTGTGAAGGCACCTGTTCCCATTTTCAGCTGCAGTCAGCAGGACTCCAACAGAAGCAGGTGGTTGGCTCCAGACTGGAGCTTCTTCTGGCTTTCTCTGTAGCCTCACCAGGATCCCTCAAAGGAACCAGCAGCATCCAGGCTCTATCCCCTGGTAGCGAGAGGACTAGCTGAGCTAAGGTCTGCTTTGCTGTGCACTCTGGCTACGCACACCCCTGTTTGGTCATGTCTCCACTTCAGAAGCCTGAACACCAGCTACACGGTGCCTCCACCTCATTTGTCTGAGCCTCAGTCATAGAGCACTCCTTCCTTAAAATTTTAAGCATCATTTATGTACTTCACCTGACTTAGAGGTCTGAGCAACTGCTAGACTGTGTCCTGGTCTCATAGGCCCAGACTCGAGCTGCATATGGCTGACCCCAGAATTTTGAGCACTAGCCTCCTGGTAACACCTTTTCCCTTTTAGTTCTGGAGGGGATACATCTGTCCTATAGTCATTGATCTCTGTGCCTTCTCAACCTTCTAGTACCTGTGTAACCAATCCTTCCATTGCATTCCCTCCATTTCATATATCCAGTGTTGTTTCTATTTACTTGAATGCAGCTTGTCTGATAAAAATTCTACATTATACTTTCAACTCTAACTTCTTCCTAAAGTTTATTAGGCTACTGGTCTTCTCTAAATGGATTTCTGATAGGCACTACAACAGTAACTTCTCTTTGGGCCGGCCCAGTGGAAAAGTGGTTAAGTTTGCATGCTCCGTTTCGGCTGCCTGGGGCTCGCAGGATCAGATCCCAGGCGCAGACCTACATACTTCTCATCAAGCCACGTTGTGGCAGGCGTCCCACATGTGAAGTAGAGGAAGATGGGCACAGATGTTAGCCCAGGGCCGATCTTCCTCAGCAAAAGGAGGAGGATTATCCCTGAGATGTTAGCTCAGGGATAATCTTCCTCACCAAAAAAATGATAACAATAAAAACTTCTCTTTATTGTAATTTATCACTTTCTTTCCAAAACTGATCTTTGTTTAATATTCTAGATCTTAGTAAATATTGTTATCATTTACTCAGACACTCATGTTAAAATAGCTTACTCAGGAATGCTTATTTTCCCTCACAAATCTCACAATTCACTCATTACGTAAGTCTACATATATTGCTCATTAATGTACTGTAATTTTTTCCTTGCTTCTCTCTCCTCACTAACATTGCTCTGGTTCAGGGCCTCATCATCTTTAGCCTCTACTGTTGCTCTGTCAAACTAGTTCATTCTCATTGCCAACAATGAGAACATTTACTAAAGCTTACTTTTAATTCTGGGATTGGACTTTGCATGGAATAAGGAATAGTTCCACCTTTTCATGTTGCACATGTGTACAAGCATGCACACGTGTATACTCACACAAATACAAGCACCCCATGTGTGCTGTTCAACCACAAAATCTAAGATTCATACTCAGATTTACAAGAGTGCTTAGAACACTAAAATAGTAGTGCTAGAAATAGCCTTGGAGATAATCTAAGTCAATGTTTCTAGAGGTAAATTGATTATACTCACCTGGGATAGTTCTAAACATCAGCACTCTGTGCCCCTATCTAAGACTTTCACACTGGGAACTCCTAAGCTAGGAATCCGAATTCTTAAAACAACTTTTCCAATCAAGTCTCCTGAACAGTAGTGTTTGAGAACTGTTGATCACTAAATAGAGTCGCATCTGAGATTCAAAGGCGACCATTGTTCTGCGTCCCACACCTCCAGTTAGTAGCAGAGATCAAGATTCAGAACTCATCCAATATCCTTGCCTTTTGAGTTCAGTGATATTTCATTGTCCTGTACTTTTCCATTTGAAAAGGAGATGTTGAGAAGAAATGAACAAATGGCTCTCCTTCTTGCTCAACTCCAGGAAACAGAAGCTCAAACTTCAATGGGGAAGACAGATATATGTCCAGCAAACTAACTTACAATGTGGTGAGTTCTACAACCTGACTGGAGACCTATGGGAGTTCAGGGCAGGAATGGGGGTGATCAATTACCACTGGAGTTGTTGCGGTCTGGAGAGAGTTCACAGACAAAACGTCCTGTCACTGTTTAAACAAGTCAGCTTATCGAATTCTCCTAAATCACTTTAACTGAAACTGAAGAATTGTTGTTGATTAACTGCTATTCTTTTGCCAATATATTGGTAGCTGATGTTCCCATTTGACAATTATTTCCATTCAAAACTGCCCACTCCCATTATTTGGGGGAACTTAGCATCCAAAATAGAAAGGACTCTCTGTCCTCCTTTGAAGGCCATTCTGCCCAAGGGACACTTCTGTCCCTGGATATCCTTAATGAGGTATTAAAATGTCCTCATTATCCAAACAAAGACACTCCGTTGGCCCTAGAGTGCTGCTGACAGAAATGAAGCCATCTGTCTGCTGTCTCTACAGACACCTTCACTCGTGAGAACTATTGTCATTCTCCTTTGCCATTTCGTTCATTTTTGAACTAACTCTCACCAGATAACAAACAAATTTGCATAAGCCTTGGTAAGTTTAGAGAACCTGAGAACTTGAGAGGATCCTACACACAAGACAAAATCCCCAGTACCTCTACAATGAGAAGGGGCCTCAGGGGAAAGTCAATGATTGAGAGAATTGCAGTCATCTGACCCCTGAGTGATCTCTTCTGATTGTGTGAACCACATGCCAGGTCAGGTAAGGACTGACTTAGATGAAGTGTGGTAGGAGGCTTTCCAGGTGTCTGGAACCATGTCTGCTTTGTCACTGAAACTGAACACGTCCTGGGTAACAGACAATGGGGCATTTTCCTAATAATTCTTTATCTCCAAAACATCTCTGATTGTGTTCTCTAAGAGTTAATGATTCTAAGATACTAGCAAGAGAGAGCCAGGACAAAGCTCTGTGAACCTTCAGAGGCCCCTCTGTGACCTTTGTTACCCCCTGCTGGTCCTGGAGACAGAGGATGTCTCACTCCCACAGCTCTGAGCCTTGATAGCAAATAGATATCTGGCTGTCCAGGGGTCTAATGGAAGACATGGCAGAGGGGCAACTTGATGCTGCCCACTGAGAAAATGCTGGTGGCTTCCTGGAGGTCACAGGCATGGCTTCAGAACACTGGTTGTCAATCTAGCTCCTGCCTTCTTTGCATGGCACTCAGGCCTGAGAGCCAGCTGGCCAACTTCTGAAATCTGATGGGTGTCATGTAGTTTGCCGGCTGCAGGTCAGGGTCTCTCTAACTCCGTTCCTTAGGCCTCTTCTCCTGGGATGTGCACAGGAGCTCCCAAGTTCACCCCTGCCCTCCACCTGGTTGGTTTACTGTGCCATCAGGCTGCTTGGTTTTGCCTTATGGAATAATTTTCTTTATGAATATCTAGGACTCTAAGTCGAAAATACCCCATAAACATGCTATTGGTAACTTGTCACTTACTTTGGGGAATCTGTACTCTATTTCCCGATCTCCTTAGCTTTGTTCTCATCACTAGTATTAATGTCATTGTGATCATCATCCTATCATTACTGCTGTTATTCAACATCATTTCTGTTTTATGCTTCTTATTATGGATAATTTTCGTGGTTGTTATTATATAACGTTGAATACAGTTTCTCTATTAAGGAAGAGTGTACAATTTACCAGAGACCATTACTGATGGCTCCACAAAAGTCCTACAGACATGCTGAGGCTGCAGTGATCCTGTTTTACCACTTGGTCTCATCTTGTGGAGTAAGACTCTTGAAAGGCACCATGTCCACCTCCTGAGGCATGTACCCACCCATGCTGGCAGGGAAGCCCAATGGAAGTTGTCCCTAGGTTGCCTGAGCCTCTACAAAAATGTACAAGATCCCTCCAGGGATCAGTACTATCTTGCACAGACCTGGAAGATCCAGGGAGGCCTCCTTGGCTCACTAGAGCCTGTAAAAATTTTCTAATTCCACTTGGGTGCCCTAGAACTGCTCTTGCTGTCCAGGAAAGACTGAAAAAATGAGTTACAGCTGCCTGAACATCCTCAGAATTTTCTACCATAGCTCAGAGCCTGAGACCCACCATTCCCAACAAAAGAGGAACAATGAGGGAGTCCTAGGCCCACTGTAAATATTTGTTATCTCCTTACTGGCCCAAGAAACTCTGGTGCTGCACTGCAAGACATGGATACAAAGACCTGCTGGCCTGAGCAAATGCAGAATTTTCTGTCTTCCAGGAAATCTATGGACTGCTTGTGTAGGCCAGTGTCACCCACTCTGGTCTGGTAGCCCCATGCAAGACTCCTCCTGCAACCTCTTCTCTGAAATGCAAATCCAGGTGTCTGGACTTCCACAGGTATGGGTAGAAAAGATGGCAGAAGGTCAGCCAGGAGGTGCTGGCTTCCATAATGCTGCGGGCTTGATGGATATCACGTAATTGAAATCAAATAGTGTGTGTGTGCATGCACGTGTGTGTGTGTGTGTGTGTGTGTGTGTGTATGAGTTAATGCAGATGTAAATACAAGAGCAAAATGTTGACTACCAAACTTTCTACAGGACGCCCTATATTTATTGGGTTTATTGTCCCCTTTTCCTTTATAGCTAATTTGTATGTACATTATTTGCATCTTACCTAAGGTTCTGCTAAATTTAGAATCAAATGAATAATGAACTGATTTCATTTGAATAAATTATTTTGAAAAATAGAAAGATGTCATAAAGGACATCTTAATTGGAACATCGTATTGATCTCCTAAGGTTTCCATAACAAATTACTACAAACTTGGTGGCCTTAAAGAAGAGATATGTATTTTCTTAGAGTCTGGAGACCAGAAGTCCAAAATCAAGGCATTAGCAGGGCCACATTCCCTCTGAAGGCTCCAGGGGAGAATCCTTCCCTGCCCCACCCCAGCTTCAGGTAGCTCCCTCCCGGAGTCCTCCGCTTAGGACAGCATAACACTAGTCTCCGCCTCTAACTTTAAAAGGTCTCCTTCCCTGTGTCTATGTGTCTCAAATCTCTCTCTGCTTTCTCTGATAAGGATATCAGTCACTGGATTTAGGGCCCACCCTAACTTCAGAATGATCTCATCTTCGGATCTTTTTAATTATATCTGCAAAGAATCCATTTCCAAATGAGTTCATATTCACAGGTGCCTGGAGTTAGGGCTGCAGTTAACTTTTAGTGGGGAAGGGGGTCACAATTTATCTCAATCTAGATGTATCTTCAGTTTACAGGTGAGTGGTATGTCTCAAACTTCCCAGAAGTGAAGTTGGTGATAAAGGCGAGGCAAAGTGCTCCTGTAGTTTCTGGCCTCTGTTTAGCACAGTGGAAAACAGACTTCAGTGTCTTCCCTTCCTAAGTCTTATTTATTTTGAGAAATAATTTTTGTTTATTGCAAATCTCACAATGCTTCCCACATTACTCATTGTCTAGTGTGGACTAATAATCGTATCAAGTATGGAATAAGTCTCTTATCCATTCAAAAATATTTCTGCGGAGACTGCCTGTTCTGAAACTTGGTCAACAGATACTGACATATTAAAGCCACAGGTTAAATGTGGATGCATTATTCACTTGGATTTCCAAATTCCAACCTAATATTTTATATAAATGGCACACCCGTAAAAGAAATACACACTGAAACAAGAGAAATTAAACTCTATCTTGCTGCATAATTTCACAGAGGTAGCATTTAAAATTTGGCAAAATAGAACACTGGGTTTTAGATATGTACTCATATTGGGGTGGGATTTTCAGAGAAAAAGGCTTTACAAAGAAAGGTGAAACCAGCCATAGGATTTCTATTGTTATAATTTGTGGGCCCACACCTGGGTAGACAAACGTTTCTAACTACCTTCATGATCGTTACATACAGGAATCAAAATGGACAAAGATCTGGAAGTTTAGAAGCAAAAGCTTTGGAGAGTAATCTTCTAATAAAAGTTACAGATCTACATAAACCCTGGCTTGTGGGTAAGGAATTCTGTCTACACGATATGTGAGCTCACTTTGGAAAATTATTATCCATATCATGGAAAACTGAATGTCCCACACTCCGTGACCTACTTGATATTGCTCTGGAAGCAAAGTGGATATTCATAAACTATATGCTTTTAAATTGAAAACCGTTCATGAGATCTATCAGGAAAGAGTGCAGCAGAAATGAGGGAAATTGAGAAAGCATCGGAATGTTTGTTGTTCCTCTGGGAGAGTGGCCTAAAAGGCAGAAATCTTTTTAACAAGTGTGTTATGAACTGAATTGTGTTCTTCCAAAATTCACATGCTGAAGTTTTAACACCTAGTGTCACTGTATTTGGAGATGGAGCCTCTAAGGAAGTAATTAAGGTTAAATGACGTCATAGGGTGGGGTTGAGATCTGACAGGATTAGTGTCCTTGTAGCGAGAGACAACAGAGAGCACGTTTTCTCTCTCTGTTTCTCTGTGCTCTCAAATGAGGAAAGGCTATATGAGCACAGAGCAAGAAGGCTGCTCTCTGTAAGCCAGGAAGAGAAATCTCACCAGAAACTGACCATAATGATACCTTCATCTCGGGCGTCTAGCTTCCAGAACTGCAAAAAAATAAATGTCTGTGGTTTAAGCCACTCAGTCTGTGGATTTTGTTATGGCACCCTGAGCAGCTATACCAAGTACAAACAATAACACCTTAGGAACATTAGCACATTGCAAATGTGAATGCCTGGAATAACTTATAAACACACACACACGCACATACACACACACAGAACGTATCCCAGGAATCTTTATCTCTATTTGGAAAGACTAAGACAAATCTATCCCCACCATCCTGATTCATTTCCAGCGTCAACATATTTATATATAATCTTAAGAATTAAGCATGTTTTAGGTGTTCTGTAAATAGAAATCATTGAAAAACATCCTCTAGTCTCTCTGGGGGATAAGCGTGACCACACCCTAAACCCTTAATCCAATCAAGTGTTTGTAGTTGATTGGTGGGTCTTGTACCGGATTGAGTGGGTGGAGGGAGCCATAAAAGGGATGAGGAGTTGGGCAAGACTGCAATTTGGAGACTGTCTCAGGGAGGGAAGCATCCTTCTTCAACTTGAGGTCCCAGATGAGAAATCTTGTGAACGTTACTGCCAGAGACATGGAGACTGCTTCTCTCCACTGGGGGGATGAGTCTCAGTTTAATGTTTTTCCAAAACTCAAACCTTCTCAGTCAAATGTAAATGGTGCTGAAGTCCAATGGGGACACTCTCTACCTGAGAAGCCATCACCATCATCACAGACAGTTTGCAACCTGCATGACGGTTTGGACCCTGTGTCAACAGGGCTGGATCCCACAAAGAAACTTTCTCTAAGTTGGAAGAGACCTTATGTGGTTGGCGCTGGGCTTCAGAATATGGGGAACACCTGCTATGTGAATGCGGCACTGCAGTGTCTGACATACACACCACCCCTGGCGAGCTATATGCTGTCCCAGCAGCACTCGAAAACCTGTCAGAATCAGAGATTCTGCACGCTGTGTGCTATGCAAGCTCATATTACCCGGGCCCTCTATCAGCCTGGAGGTGTTCTCCAGCCCCTGCCAGAGCTTGTTACTGGCTTCCACAGACACCAGCAGGAAGATGCCCATGAATTTCTGATGTTCACTATGGATGCCATGCAGCAAGCATGCTTGCGTGAGTACAAGCACGTAGACCACCACTCTGATGACGACACCCTAATCCGTCAAATATTTGGAGGATATTGGAGATCTCAAATCCAGTGTCTCCACTGCCATGGCGTTTCAAACACTTTTGACCCTTACCTGGACATTACCCTGGATATCAAGGCAGCCAAGAGTGTGAACCAAGCCTTGGCACAATTGGTGAAGCCGGAAAAGCTGGATGGTGAAAATTCGTATTATTGTAGTTTGTGTCTAAAGAAGGGGCCTGCTTCCAAGACGTTGACTTTGCACACTTCCTCCAAGGTTCTTATCCTTGTATTGAAACGGTTCTCAAATTTCACAGGCAGCAAAATGCCTAAGGAAGTGCAATATCCTGAGTATCTTGACATGCATCAATACACATCTCAGCAGAACGCAGGACCTCTCATTTACATACTCTATGCCGTGCTGGTCCACGCTGGGTGGAGTGGTCACAACGGACACTACTTCTGTTACATAAAAGCTGGAAACGGCCAGTGGTATAAAATGGATGATGCTAAAATCACCGCCTGTGACATTACTTCCGCCCTGAACCAACAGGCCTATGTCCTCTTTTACATCCAGAAGAGTGAATTAGAGAGAGGCAGTGGGAGTGTGTCAATAGGTGGGGAACAAAGATGCGTCATGTCTGACCATATGGGCATGGTTGCAGCCCAGTGGGAGCCTGAAAGAGACTCTAGCATCACAATTCCTGAGTCAGAGGAGCACACAGAAGACACATCAATCAAGCAAGTCACCTTAGACCAGTGGAGATTCCAGCAAGTACACAACCTTCCAAAGCCTGAATTCAACCTCAGGAAAATAGATCCTGCCCTGCCTGCCCATGCGATTGTGATTCACCAGTCAAAATACAGAGATGGGATGAAAAAGAATGATCCTGAACAGGAAAACTACCCTCTCAACAAGTCAGCCAGGGAGATCTCAGCTCAGGGGTTGATGAACGTTGGCAAAGTCCCTTGTCTTGGAGGGAGAGCCAGAGCTACCAAGAGGAGGAACAAGAAAGGGCAGAGGTCTCTGGATGTATTCCAGTCATCTCACTACAGGCTTTGATGCGCATGCCTGCACAGACACACACAGACACACACTCACTCACAAACACAGGCATATATAGGAAATATTGTGTGTTATAGGTGTGAATAATCTAGAAATGTTGAGGGAATATCTATCTGGGTGTGCTCACGGGATATGGCGTTCGGTGTGAACTTGTGAGTACTGACTTTGAGGTCTAGCTGTCCACAGTGATGCTATTGGAGAAGGCTGGATTTATTATGGGGTCTGAGGACATTTCCAGTTGTGCTGTGTTTGATTGAAGAGTCAGTTGGTGGGGGCTGGAATATTTGAATTTTTGCAATTTGAGATACTTGTGAATCAATTTAGTGACTGTCAAAGGGTGCATCTGGAAGATATTGATAATAAAGTTTATTTTTCTGGTATTTTTTATTATATGTATTTCGTGGATATTACATGTATTTGGGGGTTGTCATAATAAGTCCAGTGGTGTGCTCTTGAGAAGTAATGGGCTTCATAGTCTCCACAGCTTTGAAGATGAGGCATTTTGTTTTGTTTTACTTTGTTATTAGTATTATTATTGTTATTATTTTTGGTTAGTGAAGATGAGGCACTCTTAATATAGATTTTGTGGTTTATACGTGTGTGACAGGTATGGGGGTAAGTGTGCACATTTGAGAATGCAGGTGTTTATGCATACAGTCTGGCTTGGGGCAGACTGGTGTTTTGTGTTGGGAGAAAGTTTGTATTTTAAGTGAACTCAGGGATGAGGGAAGTGTGTGTTTCTGTTCTGTGTGAAGACAGTAATTGGATTCACAGAGTTTTGCAGTTAGAGCGTAGGCAAATAATTATTTGGAAATTAGGGGCAGAAAACTTTCTGCCTTAATGATGGAGGCTTTTCATGGAGATGCAAATGTCTTAAGGGTAAAATAATATAAAATGAAATGCTTCCAAAATATAGTTTTCCTGTGTTTTTGGCTACATAGTATTAATATCTTTTAAAATTGTCCTGACTGCCTCCTCTGTCATCAAAAGTTATCTGCCAGCTTTCCTTAAATAAATATTGAAGGTCACACTGAGGGATTCCTTCAGACGTGTGGAGGCATAGTGTTTGTACTGCCATGGGTGCCCTGGGGAGGATGCCCTTACTTTTATGAGGCTCTTCAAATTTATAAGTGGACTCCAAGGGCCAGGAGCATCTTGTGCTGGCCTTAATGACCCAGGGAAGGCATCCTTACCCCACCAGAACCACCCAAATCCTCTGAGTATAATAAAGGACCCAGGAACTGCTCTTAGTGTCCTAAAAAGGGTGGAAAAGTGAACATGCAGCCTGGACACTCCTCAGAAATGGCTAAACACTCACCTGAGCAAGTACAATATTTTCTGAGTCCTTCAGGAAGTCCATGCCCCTCTCCTGCCTGCCTGTGTCTGAGGATGAACCCTCCACCAGGTCAGCACCTCACAGAGAAGTATGAACATTCTGGAGTCTGAGAATATTATATGGAGATGAGCAACCAGGTTTTAAGGGAGGAAATAAGGCTGGGGATCTGGACTATGTGTGAAAACGCCCGAACGTGATGATCCAGTCATCACCTTCCTTACTCTCTGTTCATATTAACAAGGACATTTACCAAGAAATACCCACGGCTACATTTGTATCAGATGAGATGTGTTTGAAACTATACAGATGCCAATCAACAGGAGAAAGGGTTAAAAAAAAAAAAAACCTCAGTGCATCTGCAAGAATAAATGGCAAACCACAGTGAAATTGAATAAACTAGAGGTACACATGTCAGCAGGGAGAATTTTCAGGAACAACTATCTGACTCAAAAGGTAAGGTGCAAAATGAAACTATGTTGATAAATGTGCATGTTTTCACTTGCAGAAAACATATATTGTTAAAAGTATACATGTGTCTACATATTAACATTTTTAATTGCTTGGAAATGGTAAACGATAAATTATTATGTATTTTCCAGGAGATGATTGGATCAAATGTGATTGGATCATGTTGATTACATCAGATTACCTTTAAAGATCACCTGCCCTTGAAGAGAAGCTGGTAAGGAAACTTCCCCACAGACAATTCCTCAGGCATCCTGGCTGCTGCATCATGTCCAGCAGAGTTTGTCAGCATCCACCCCTCTGAGAACCTACTGACACACAGGAGGGGGAGAGAAGGATTTCAGGTTGGTGTCCATTACAATGTTGGTCCTTGGTTTATACCTCAGATAAATAGTCTAATTGGAGAAAGAAGTATCAATGTGGCTTTGGATGTGGGAGTATGGATTCTTTAAGTTGTAATTGTATTTCTTAGGAGAGAAACTGATAAAATACATCATTCAAATGCAAATTATTACATGATGTTCAAATTCTCCTGATTTGTGTGGGGCAGTGTACGAGCAGTTAGGAATCTAGTGTTTTGCTGAGGGCATTTAAAGGCTAAATAATTTATTTTTCATTCTTCATTCAAACATATACATTTCATACTTATTAGAAATGATTTTAAAAGTGTAATGCTGAGGATAACACAGTAAATGTAACAGTCCACACCCTCAGCAGTGAGGCCCCCAGGCTAATAGGGAGGCAACATTTGTCTACGTTAAGTTGTAGCTGGAAATTGCCTCCTCTCATGTCAAATGTGACCATCTGAATTTTGAAGAGGAAAGCATGTTTTATTTCAGATTTTTAAATATCATCGTCAGAGGTTAGATGTAGCACTCTCATATCATTCCTTATTTGGAATGTCTTGGAAACTGTTTTATTTCTCTTATCTAATATACTGTAATGTTATAGCTTTCATGAAGTCTCAAAAATCAGTCATTATTGAGTGAAAATTGATCTTCAACATTTATATGTCCTTGTCTATGCAGGAGCATCTTCTAGGAAAGGGTGATCGTGACAGAGGATGGTACATGTCTCCTCATGTGACACCACTTTGTGAAAATAAGAAAATGGTTATTGGTTTGATTAGTGGTCATTGAGGCCCTATCTTCCCCACTTGTAGAGAAGGTGCATGAGGGACATCTGTCTCTGTGTCTATGTGACCCATCGTCCCTTTTCAAGTGAAGCAGGACATGTGAAAATTAATACCTGAGCAAGACTGACCTAAAGCTTCAAGGAGATGAGGCAGATGGCAAGTCAATACAAACAGCACCAGCTCCATAGGCCCCAATGGGCAAGAACATGATGAAGGACAGAGGGGACCAGGGGGACAGAGAGCTCCCCACAGGAGGAAGAGGACCCTAGAGTAAGTGGAGGCTTGAATCTCTTGGGATGAGGGGGCTCCACAGAATTCAGCAAGAGGTTTTTACGTGGAATGTTCTGCATGCATAACTCAGTTATACCAGCCCATGCAACTAACATGACTTTCGACCCCACCACCAGGCAGATTGGCTCATTTAGACACTCTGAGTAGCAACCTCACCTTCTGGTTGCCATGTACAGCCTGGTGTTTGTCAGACCTTGAAATATGCCCATTTACTCTACAATCCTTCCTCCTAGCATCCCTCTCTAAGATGTACTGTGGCAGGGCCATAATATCTTAAATATCTTGGCACCTACTGGGCCATATGCCTATGTCCTCTCTTTAAAACCTATATTCAACTCTCACAATAAGACCATACATTACCTTTGAAAGCTGACTGTGACTTCTGCTGTTTCACTCATCACCTTATCTTCCACCCACAGGTGCAGAGCAATGACTGCAGAAACTTTGGACACATAACAGGAAGCCTGAGCTGCCCCATGAGGTGCCCAGATGGGGCTCCACATCCCTAGCCCTTGGGCAAAATGAGGAGAAGAACTTGTAACCAAGGAGCCCCTGGAAGCCCTTGAACACAGGATCCTTTAACAAGACTGAAGGAGAGAAGGAAAAATGATAAAGGTAAGAACGTGGAAGTTTGTAACCAATCCTAGGCTATAGCAACCTAAAGAGACTTTATTTCTCAACCTCCACACCACATGCACAGCCATCTCAAGCAAGTACCTCCAACCAGGACACAAGTAGACAAGAGCTGCATATCGTCCAGGGGTCCACCCCAGCAAGGAGCTCATTCCACTCTTGAAGAAACACTAAGAGCGAGAGGAAAGGACACACGTGGGAACTTTGCACATCACAGACACAAAAACAATAGTCTAAACTAATGGGGAAACCTGGCAGACTACCTGCAGTTGAGGGATGGCTCTGAGCTGAGGTGAAGGGCCGTCATAGCTGAGTTCACAGGACTTCAGTACTTGCCTCACTCTAAAACCCCCAATAAGGCTGGACCCCAAGAATTTTTATTTGTGTTGTGAACTGGACAAAAAGTGCAGGCAAGAAGTACAGGTGAGGTAGGCTTGTAGCTCAGAAACATCCAAGGAGACTTCAAGGGATAAAGCAACAAAATAGGATGGAATTGATAGAATGTGGTGATCATCTGAGGGTGAGGGTCTATTTCTCTTCTGGGTAACCTTGAATTGCTTCACTCCTATGCTCCTTTTGGGTGAGAAATTTCTTAAAATTCCATTCTGTTTAATGAGACTCCAACTTATTTGTGTATCTTCAGTTTTCACCTTTCCTTCAATCTTTGCTTTTGTGCAGTTACTTGCATGGCTGCCAACAAGAAGCTAGAGGGGCCATATGGAAGTGATTTAATTAGATGCCTCTAGAAGGAATATCTTTTAAATTGCAGTAAATATTCCCAAATTGTCCATCACACATATTAACCATAAAATGGTCTTAAAAACAGCATTAACTCCGACACTCACCGAAGAGAAAAAGCTTGTTTCAACGTAATCAACAGGACACAATATTTAAAAAAACTTGAGCCGACCCCGTGGCTTAGCGGTTAAGTGCTCGCGCTCCGCTGCTGGCGGCCCGGGGTTCAGATCCCGGGCGCGCACCGACGCACCGCTTTTCCGGCCATACTGAGGCCGCGTCCCACATACAGCAACTAGAAGGATGTGCAACTATGACACACAACTATCTACTGGGGCTTTGGGGAAAAACAAGAGAGAAGGACTGGCAATAGATGTTAGCTTAGAGCCTGTCTTCCTCAAC